CTGCCCGAAGACGGCTGGGATAGGCTCCAGCACCCCCCGCGACCCTAGTGAGGATCAAGCGGTTCGGAAAATGAATGAATGAATAAACAATATCAAATAAACAACAATAATTGGTTAAAAAAATAGTCGGGGGGGATGTAATACACTTAAACGTAAAATAACATTGAATCCAATCAATCGATGGAATAATCGACAAAATAATGGATTCTAAAAATATTCGATCGTGACAGCCCTAGTTCAGACTGTGACACGGAATTTTGAGCTAGATTCCGTTAAATCTGATTGTGTCTTTTTCATAGAACCCAGCAAAAGTGGGACATCCGCGCAAGTGTGCAAATGTTCAAACAGCACCATGCAAAAAAAAGAAAAAAAAATTGTTTGAAAATATTTGGTTTTTAATGTATTTTTGTTGTGATTTTTAATGTTTTACATTTAAATGTGAATTTCTGAGAACACAGCAAAGGTGGGATATCTTCACGATTGTGGCCTTTATCACGGCAACCCGACATCCTTGAGTTGACGACCTCAGTGTCGGCGTTTGGCGTAAGTGACATTTGCTTTCGACACGAGTGAGTGTCAAACTTGATACTTCTGTCCCGCATTTGCGGCATTTGCTTACGAACACTCCGCCTCTGTTACAGCTCAGCGGGTGGAAAACTGCAGCGTCCATCGTGTCCTACGTTTTTCCACCTTTTTCGATGTTGTGATGTGAAAAAACAGCAGCAGAATGTGAAAAGGTGGCAAAATGTCAGCTTTTAAAAATGATTGTTCTGTGGTGAGGAGAAAAAAAATGACAGATTACAAAGGGCGCATTATTATTCTGGAAACTGAAGAGGCTACTAGACGTCCGTCGGAGTCTTCCTGATTTCCATCTTCTGGGCGTTTTGGGAGATCAGGACAGTTGACATTTGTGTTATCACTTAATGTCAACCAAAATAAAAAGGAATTTCCTTGATCCGCACCTAAATTGAACCAGTTGTACTTTGGCCTGTGGCGCATCAGGATAGTTCTGCTGAAAAACCGTTTCCTGGCTCTGCACCCAAAATTTAACGGCTTGTACTTTGACCTGTGTCACATCCTTGACATCAACAGAGCCCTGCAAACAAACAAACATGACAAAGAACGAAAATGAAAACCAAAATTAAAAAACGGTTTCCTTGAGCCCCAAATAAATTGAAAAGGTTTCACCTTGGCTGATGTCACATCCTTCCACAAACCGTGACTCAAGCCCTGCGTAATCACGAACAACCAGTGATGAGAACATAGTGTCAACCAAAATTATCATCCCAACCAAAATGGGAACAAAAAAAACAAAAAACAAAAAAAAAAACAATTTCCCGGATGCGCACATAAATTTAACTGGGTGTACCTTGGCTGGTGTCGCATCCTTCCACAATACGTCACGAAAGTCCTGTTAAATCGCCAACGGCAATGAAAACATCGAGTCAATGAAAATCATAATAGCCACGTTTCAATTCAGACTTTCTTGTCATACTGAGTGAAGTGCTTGAGTCAACTATTTACGATGTGAAGTGATCTATTCCGATGTGCCATTTGCATGCGCCACTGCATGCGTCCCAAGGGCCATTTTGCAGCGGTGTGACGCGCATATCGATGTAAACATCACGTGGTTTATCTCGATGGCAGTTGTCAGTTTAGCAGAGGAGTTGCGACAACAGTGTGACAAAAACAAGGTAGAAGTCATTTCGAACAAGCTCTCCCGCTCTCACCTAAATACGACTAACCCGTTCAAAAAAAGTCATCCTACCTCCATAACAAATAACACGTCAACAAAATTCTTATTGCAGAAACAGAATTCCATTTCATGGATGTTAATTGGTATTTTTATTTTTTGTATGTGTGCTTTGAACTCCGGGCTCCAGAAATTGACTCGAGTGTGCTGACCTGACCTCAGAAGCCGACTGTGTTTGTACTTCATGAGAAGGTCTACAATGTCTTTAGGACCTAAGTCATCAATGATTTATCAACCAGTAACATCATTTTAAAATTGATTCTTCAGCTGATTGGAGCAACTCCGATTCAAGCCCAGACATCACTCACTCGGCCTCGCCCCTTTCCGGCAACTCTCCAGTATGTACAGTAATTACACTTTATTAAACTTGTATGTTATTAAATTCTCTTCATTATGTTTTCATATACTACAGTGATAGATTTCTTTTTTTTATCTCATGGCACTTCAATCTGCAAACTTAATTTCATACATTGCAGAAGTAAATTGATTTAGGGAATGAAACTTTTAATTCTGGGAACCACTGTACTTCATTTCCCCTCAAAATGTGACTGAAATACTGCCAACTCTTGAACAAAAAGTGAAATTAATGTCAACAGAAATATTAATTTCATCTGAATTGGGCGCTCATCACTGCAGTTCAAATACAGCCTAATAAATGTACAGTACATTATATACTGGAAAAACAAACGTTTAATATTGTAGTTTGTGCATTACAATTGTACGTGTATTAACCAAACTGCAACCCCAACCCCACAATCAATCAGCAACGGATGCCGGCCAGATCACATCCCTCTCGCCGCTCAGCAACACGCTCACTGCTGGATACTTCCCCGCCCGCTCCCCTTTAAATATCAACTCCGCCCCGAAATCAGTCGATCAAATTCGACATCTTGCCCACCAGCTTCTAACCAATCAGCGAGCGGAGGGGCTGATGTCGAGACGGTGGTCCGGGCGAGCGTTGACCAATGGTAGGCCGAGTTTGACGCAAGCGCGAAAAGGGAGAGGAAAGGGGCGGGGGGGTCAGGGTGATGGTTGCGTGACGTCACGATAGTTTGTCACTCAAAATGTAACATTTTTTTTTCAAATAAGTGGCACAAAAGCAGAATTTTAAGAATTTGTATAAACGAAAACGTTTGAAAGCTACTCTCCAAAACAAACCTGTTAAAGTCACGTGACGCTACAACGTTGATTGTCACCAGCACTGAGCCGCTTCCATTCACAGATGCTAAAACTAACGGACTCTTGAATGATTTTAAAAAGCTATACAGGAAGTGGTTAAAAGTTGCCTAATAGAGCGCAATAAAAGGATTAAAGATTGGGGGTGCCATATGGTTGCAGTGAAGCCTGTAGTGAGACGCTAGTGAAAGATAAGTAGCATGCCTTTTAAATAGTATGTGCTGTGTGGGGGTGTGTGTGCGTGTTTTTTTTTTTTTTTTACTACGCGACGCCCCGCCCGGCTCAGCCTCCCAAAACGCGGCGCTCCGCCTCACCGGCTTCATTCCTGTCGAGAAGTAACCGAGAGGGGCAGGAAATCAACTCAGCGGCTCCTCCTCGTCATCAACCGGCTTCAAAAACACATTTCACCCGGCTATAATCGCCACCTTCCCCCCGGAGCCTGAGACATAAACAGTCGGAAGAAGAAAGGAGGACAGAGAAAGAAAAGCTCCTCCGAGAAGTAGACCCGCTGAGACTAATCGAACGGACCTCACTTCAGGGACGCCCTTTCCCCGAAAAGATTTAAAAAGCACCATTTTTTCCTCTAGTTTTTTGTGTCATTTTTTTTGTCACCATGACCCGGAGATCGTGTGCCATTTACGCCACCGGCATCGTGTGCGCCCACCTCCTCATCGTGGGGATCGCCCTGGTGGTGGCTCAAGTCTTCCAGACCCTCATACATAACCGCTTGAAAAAGGTGAGCTAAGTTTGACCTTTTTTTTCCCGTCCGAATGCCACTAAAAATGTTCCACTGGAAAGCATTACACTTAGGCTCAGACTGGCTGATGCAGCATGACCCACTGACACATTCCCTCAGACGATTACCATGTCTCCCCCCCTTCTCCCACTTTTATGCACGTTAATTCTCTTGAAAACCAATCTACTAAAATGTATCAGTTGTTGGCCTCCAAGGTGTCCACAACGATCCAGAATGTTGGTATTCCATTTCTGTCCCTCCACTAGTTCTAGTTGCAACTCTCTATGTGTCTTTGTACCTTTTTGAGGTGTAAAATGGGGGGTACTGGTTTGTTCTCAAGCTGTAAATGTCTCAGTTTGAGGTTACCTCCAAAGCAGAGGGGGACAACTTTAGCGACGAGGTCCCGAAGTGTGTGGCAGGACCCTTTTAAGGGAGATCGTGAAGCCTTTCTCATTCAATTTCATTCATTCATGTACAGCGCATATTTTTTCTGTTGTAACGCATGTCAAATTCAGTAATTTTGCAAGACAGTAATGTTGTCAAAGTTAGGATGAAACCTCTGCAGCTTGTGTTCTTTTACTCTTTATGTGTATTTTTTTTTTTTTGTATGATCTATCAGTGGGTGACGAGGTCTCAACCCCAGTGATAAGCGCTGCAAAACCAGAGAGTCGCAGTCTAAGGGGCGTGGGCCCCAAAGTGGATGTCAGGTCTCCTTTTTTGGATGGTCGTCGTTTTCCATTTCAGACACCGTAAATATTTCCAACTTTTGGATCCAATTTCTTCTGGCCTTGTTAATTTCTTCCTTTGATCTTAATTTTAAGTTACACGCTATATTAGACATGGTGTTCTCCATAAAGTATTTTTTAATGTTATTTAGATATTTAACTCCACAAAAGCAGTACCGTTTTGTGGGCATCAACCATAAAGTGAGGTTGCCAATCTTCGGGGCCCTATCAGTGGATCATGAAGCCTTTTTGATTCATTCTCATTCATTCATTTGCAGTTTGTCTCCTGTGTTGCAGGGCAAATTGAAGTTTAAAACTCACATTGTAAAAATGACGACAAAACATCTTTCAGCTTTTTTCTTTTCTTTGTATTTCAATGTGTTTGCATGGTTCTTAAATATATTGACCAAGCAGCAACAGAAATTGGCTCTATATCTCGTTTCCAATATTCACACACACACAACCAAATTGCTTCATGGTGAGAAATAAAGTTTTCTGAAATGGAGCCGTCACTGATTGTGTGGCGGTACAGTGGCTGGACCAATTCAGGCCAGTGTGGGTTCAGCTCCCCCACTCAGTGACGGTGTGAAGGTGAGTGTTAGTGTTTGTACGTCTGTACATGCCCTGCGACTGACAGCCGACCAGCTCAGGGTGTAGTCCGCCTTTCATTGAGATCAGCTGGGCTAGGCAGTCGTACCCCGCGTGACGCTGAAGACCGTAAATTGCATTGAAAAACGACGGATGACTCTGAACAAGAAACAAACGCAAAACCCACAAACACAAAGTTAAGTTTGTAGGTTTTGCGGTTTTAATAGTATTGCATCAGTGTCGCACTGTGTTTGACAGCAGCAGGGGGTGGGGGGGTGTAGTTTCATGGGGTCTGTGTTGGGATGGGGGAAGGGTGTTCGCGGGTGGAGCTTGGTTACCTTTCGGCCTTGTCTCGCCGAGTTTACGCTGAGTCCTGCAGTGACTGTTATATAGCAAGCATCCACTCTTTACACTACTTTGTCATTCCCAGCTGTTGGAGTGTCTTGTGAGCTTACGCGACTTGTTCCAGCTTGGCTCCAACCTAAAATGATGACACAGTCACACCGTTGCTAACTATACATAAAGAGGTTTTGTATTGTATCCAGTCACTATTTTAGTACAACTCATGTATGCGTGTGAGTGCAAATCATTGAAAAGAAGGTTACAATTTAAAAAAGCCAGGAGAAGTTCATCTTAATGTGGTTGAAAAAAACAAAAAAAGACCAAGCAAACAGACCAACATCAGGCTTTGATGTTTAATCAGCATGAAAAGAAAACAAAATTGAACACATGTAACACACTCTTACTATTCAATCAGTATTTAGCACAACTTCTGTATTTGCCATGCATGCTTGTCAATTAAAAATGTAAAACTATTTAGCTAAACTGCTGGCAGGTTAGCTAGCTAGATCACTTTCTAGCTGGCTAGCTGTTAGATCGCTTTGTAGCTGGCTAGCTGTTAGCTAGCTAGATCGCTTTGTAACTGGCTAGCTTTTAGCTAGCTATATCGCTATCTAGCTGGCTAGTTAACTTGCTAGCTATTATTCTAGTGTCCAGTCCATCAATATTTAATATAACTCTTTGACGCTAATAAGACTAGAATAAGGGAAACAAATGAGGTGGGCTGTTTAATTAATAAATAATAATAATTGTAGCACTATTGCCACTCTATGTCCACGCAACATATGACTTCAAAAATAAGAAACAAGACAAAAATATGGATGGTTAAAAAAAAAAAAAAGTGTGTTGGGGGGGGGGGGGACAAATATGACGCAAGGGAAAAACTTCATCCATTATTCCCCCCGTGGGTTTTAGGACATTCACACAAAATAACAGGGGTGGGCTTTAGTTGGTATAGTGGCGATTCAGCAGCTCAATCGGGGTCGGCAGCTGACACGCTATATATCGCACCCCGGCACACCCACTGCTGGCTTTGACCATTTTGGAATTGTTGGCATTCCTCTTGCTGACATGAATCAGTTGCGACTGTTTTCGGGGGCGCCGTGCCAACTCATCCGGACTACTTAGGGAGGAAGCCAGCCAGCCAGCCAGCTTCCCTCTGCCGCTTGGTGTAAATTAATTTTGCCCATTGAGAATCTCCAAATGAGGAGTTGCTTCGCAGGGGGGAACAGCTAATCTTCAACTCCCTCAAGGGAGAAAAAAAAAACAAGTCTCACCACAGGTTTCTGAAGAAGTTGTAGCTTAGGATACACGATAACCAGAGCGCGTCGCAAAATGAACGCTGTGACGTTTTGAAAAGTGCATATCTGCTATTTTTAGCCTATTAGCAGAAAGTCATTTTAACGCAGCTTTACAATAGTCATAAAAATTACCAATGTACTTGCGAAACACATGTATAGTCTGTCTGTATAGATTCTTAGTCGTCCAGGTCGTGGTGATCCACAAAAGGTTGAATCAAAGCAATTGGGTTCTTTGTGATTGTTAAATTTAATGTATTTTTTTATTTTTTATTTTTGTCTTGTTCTCTGAAAATGTTCAAAAATGACTTAGGCACTTGTGTTAATAGGCTAACAATCTGGAGAACGGAATGTCACAAAAACATAATGAAGGAATTGCCCCAACTTGGCTTCTTGGGCCAAATTGAAGCTGCGATTTTATGGTGACATCACATAAATATGAGACACCTGCATTTATAAAATGTTTTTTTTTTTTCCTGGATAAAATGCATACTACAGGGATCGTGCATTTTCCCCCCAAGAACAGAGGCTTTAGGTATAAATATGTGAGACTACAGTTGTATTTTTTAAATTCATTTATTACATAAAGTAACTTTACCTAAATAAACTTTAACCTATTATGGATATTTTTTTCTTTTTACGTCTTTTTATCCCGACAAAGTAAGTGCCATTTTGCAAAGATGTGCAACTTTGTTTTCATCACATCGCAACTTTTTTTCTGACTTTTCATCACGTTCCAATTTTTTTTTTTTTTTTGTCAAATTGGCAGCTTTTTCAATTCCCGGGGGCTTTTAGCAGCACACATCGCAGTTCTGTTTAATAGGCCTTGCGATTTTCCACTCCAAGTGTTTATTTCAAATTCAAGCTTCATTCAAGCAAGCATGTTTGGGAATGTCCGGCAAACGTCTTTGCGACTGTTTGCAACATTGAACAAACCCCGACAGGAACACATTTGTAAACCTTCGTTACTCAGTAAGACAAAGACCCAAGTCGCCCTTGGACCAAAAAGCTTGAGAATCCGTACTCTAGGGCGTGGAAGGAAGCATAAATCATGTGAGGAATTTCTTGGCTTCTTCAAGTCCTGAGGGCATGAGTTTTTTTTCTTTCTTTAATGTACTTGAACCAGGAAACGGCAAGCACCGAGCGAATGAAGGCTTAACAGATTGCGCATGAAAGCATTTGAAAAAAAAGAATGACACAGGGTGCTGGTGTCCTTTTACATAATTTTCTCATCAGCGATCGTCAGAGCCCCCAAAGGTGTTTGGTTAAGGACCAGGTCCTCATCAACCTCCACTTGTGTCCTTGGGCTATGTTGCTGATGGCACTAGTGATGTCGTCCCTGCTGATAAACGCTGTCCAAAAGCATCAAAGAAACCTTGGAAGAATCCAAGGATTCATGCTTTTTGCTGTTATGACAGCTGTTCAAGTTCTTTTTTATTTTTTTATTTTTTTGCACCAAAGAATGAATGTATTTTTAAAAGTGCGTGACATCATCCTGGTTTCACTTCAGCACTGATGATGTGAAAATGCGCAGAGACGCCAGGCTTTCAAACGTAGCGACTTCCTCATTTCGCCTTGCTCCATCAGCAGATCTTTGTTACCTATTTTGAGCGGGAGAAGTCGCAATCTCACGAGAAGTCACGTGACATAAATGGGGCGGGGGTATTGTTAAACGGGCACATTTTTGAGGGGGAAAGGCTTTCTTGAGAACGTAAAAGAATGGGAGCAAAAGAAAGTTGTATTTTTGATGGTGGGGGGGATCACATTTTTAAAAGAATTATCATATGTTTGGTGGGGGGTGGTGAATATTGTGTAAGTGGGAGGAACAAAGGTGTACATTTAGAACCAAGACAGTAGAAAGCACAAAACCAGAAAACGGTTTTTGGTTGCCTTGAGCTCTGCTGCGGTTTCACGGGAAGCCTTGTGTCGTTGCGAGGATGCGACCGACCTAACAATTAACCACGCCCACCACAATCATTTGTCAAGGTCAGAATAATGGCAAGCTGCGGCCGCCCCTCCAGCTTGACGGCGAGTGCTTATGAGAGACAATGTACGGCATGCATCTGGCCTCAACGGTCAACTGGAAGCGGACGCGAGCCCTCCAGCAAACTGGAAACGAGAGGAAGTGTTGTCAGTTACCTGCGCGTGGCTAAAAATAACCTGTTTGGTGGTCCCTTTACATCAGTGGAGAGAAGTCACCAAGTGCAAAGACTTTACTGCGCGTGAGCAGATTTTTGCGGGCACCTGGATTCTAATATTTATTTTTCAAGTGACTTTTTGCACTATATTTGCAAGTACAGATACCTGGACTTTAGACGATAAAGCCCCGTCTGTTTTCATTGACCGAAACAGGACAAAAGCCCGACGTGGCTTGACTTGCCTGCACGATGCAAATCCTGCATGAACTACATCAACCAGAACAGCATTCGCAGGCTTGCTCATCTTGTTGAGGTTCTTGTCGGAACTTGCCGGGTTGCACATATACTGTACAGTCTCCATCGTGTGTGTGTGTGTGTGTGTGTGTGTGTGTGTGTGTGTGTGTGTGTGTGTGTGTGTGTGTGTGTGTGTGTGTGTTTGTCCTCAAATGAACCTTGTTCACTGTTGAAAGAGCAGAGATACTCTAAGTGTCAATTAGGAACCAAATAAGCTACCGTAGCCCTCCAATAACCATGAAAACAAGCGTGTGTCATCGCTACCAAGCCTTCGAGACTAGGAACAAAAACAGGAAATAGAAACTTGCCAAAATAATAACACCAAACATCCCAACAGCTGTCATAAAATGAACCACAGAGGTCAGCTGCAAGTCCTGTCTAGATAACGTAGAGACCTACCAAAATAAGAGGGTAACTGTCTGTCATACAAAATGAACCGATGCACTCAAATGCACTATAGGTCGATACCATGTTACCAAGTCAACAAGAACAGGAAGTAGAAGTCGACCAAAATAAAAATAAAGAGCAGTCCCTGCGCCAAACATCACAAAACAGAAGCACTCAACCGCACCGCACTGTCAGGCAGAATCCAAATCCAAGTAATTTTTTCCACATTTTCCAAGCGTCATGTTGATTCTTGGCGGTCGCGCCGTATTAAGGGTTACTTTGTGTTTAGGAAATAACATTGACGGAGAAGAGTCAGATGTTCGAGTCGTGGAAGAACCCGCCCCCGCCCGTCTACATGGAATACTACTTCTTCAACGTCACCAACCCGGAGGTGGTGTCGGCGGGCGGCAGGCCATCCGTCCAACAGATCGGACCCTACACCTACAGGTAAAGGAACGTCCGGACCCCCACCGGGTCCCCAGACCCTCTTCACAGAGTCTGAGCACGTCCTGCCGTTTGCCGCCCCAGGGAGTACCGGCCCAGGGTGAACGTCAGCTTCCTGGAGAACGGCACCAAAGTGTACGCCCTCAACCCCAAAACTTTTGTGTTCTTGCGGGAGAAGTCGGTGGGAGACCCCCAAGTGGACATGCTCAGGACCGTCAATATCCCCTTTGTGGTAAGTCGCCGTCTGTTTATCGTCTCCCCGCTCTGGACAACATTGTTTGCGAATGAAACAAGGACAGCGATATCATCCTGTTACAGTCCGAGTGAGGACACGGTTTGTAAATGTTGGTTCAAAATGGGGGTGGGAAAGTATTTTCATAAAATGTTTTTGTTTTTTCATGAGAATGTTTTCATTGAACATAAAAGGGAACATATTTACAACAGCAAATATTAAAAGGTACATTTAATTTCATGGTAAATGTGATTGTATATTAAAGTGGGATTAAAAAAAGAAAATATCTATTCAACTGATATCACATTTTAAACATGAAAAAAGTGAGCTACAACTAAGTGTAAATATCACAACTATGTAATATCAATATTATGTTATACACGTTTTTAATTTCAACTATAATTCATTTTCTAATTAAGTTGATTTCAAATAGCTTTTTCAAGTTATCATTACGTTTTAATTCAAAACTATATTAAATTGAAAATATTCATCCTTTTTTTTAATGGAACATTATTAATTTCACATTTAATATTGTTAAAAAGTAAAGGTTTTATTTACATTTCTTGTTAAAATGTAAGGTAAAGATATATATTTTATGCTAAATATTTGTTCATTTTCATAAAAACAAAAGATTAAAAGTTTTCTTTTTAAAAAATACTACTTTAATTCTGAACTATATTGTTATTTCAACGTAAATGAGATTATGCTTAATCTAACAAATTTGATTTTCTTTTCAATGTGGAAATGCAATCAAGTAAAACTTGTTTAAAAAAAATCTTTAAATAAAAATTAAAAATATATATTTATATGACAGTGTATATATAAAAGGAAGGTGTGTATGTAAAGGACGCACTTTTGTTTTTTCTCACAGACATAAAAAATGATGACAGCTAACCCCGCCCCCTTGTGTCCCCCGCCAGGTGGTGATGAACGAGCTGAACTCATACTCGTTCTTCCTGCGCAGCTTCATCTCCATGTACATCAAAAGCCTGGGGGTGAAGTTGTTCACCACGCGCACGGTACACGAGTACCTGTGGGGCTTCAAGGACCCCATCCTCACCAAGATCCACTCCATGAAGCCGGACGTGGACGAATACTTTGGGCTCATGTGGAAGGTACGTCAATGCCGAGGGCTCACTTGCAGCCGTGCAGATTTGCCGACTTCCTCTTAGCGCCTGGTGCAACTTGTGCAATGTTGCGGTGAGGCCATCGGCTGCCGTGATGTGCCTCTTCGTTGGCTGACTCAGTCAGGAAGTTGACTGCAAATAAAAGACACGACGCGGACAGTATCGGGACAGAATTTGGGAGAGGTGACGTTGGAATGGCTCGTATACCAATTCAGTGGACCATTGGCTTCGAAGTGCCCCAATTTAGTGTTTTTCCGAGCAACGAGTCGTTCCTTGGTTGATTTTGAGGATTTGTGTTGCCACGTCTCCTACTACCCGGGGTGCAGGTGTCACCAACATGGTAGCCCCGAAGGACTACATAAGTCACTTGTGGGCCTTTTCTTTAAAAAAAAAAAAAAAAACGAGCCCCGGTGATGGGACATTGTAATCTCCTGGGAACGTTGAAGAAGTGATCATTGGAAAATGTGAACACTTATAAGACGTTTATTCAAATATTTGGTGACCCCTGCTTGAGTCCTAATGTTACAGCCCCCCCCCCCCAAAAAAAATAAACCCAACTGACAAACGCTGTTTTCCCCCTCCCAACTTCCAATTATGATTGTTCCTTGTGCTCACTTGGAGGCTTATTGTGCTCTACAAGGAGGTCGTGTCAGCCAAACACAAAGCGGCGTTTCTTTCCGGCGCTCATTAAGGCGTCGGGACGCAAATGCGTTCTGACTCAGTGCCTCACCAGCATGCGCTTCGTGTCTCAACCTGTCTTCTCGTTTTGGCAGAAAAACGGAACCCACGAAGGGGAGTTTGTGTTCAACACCGGTGAGCAGGACTACATGGACTACGGCAAAATTGACACGTGGAACGGACTCAGGTAAAAAAAAGAAAAAAAAAATCATTTTATTTATCTTTTTTCGTTGTTTTTGTTGATTGAAATGCTCCTCCTGACTCCCACAGTTACGATCTGTATTTGCTCACTTACACAACTTTTGAGTTTGCTCCAAAGGGGGGAAAGCCTTTGCTCCCTGGATTTTAAGTGGAGCACGGTTGCAAAATGGATGTTTGGCGATGCAAAGTGACTTTGTACTTTGAAAATATCCAGGTCGGTCGATTTGTGAATGCGCCAAAACAGCAAGCACGGAATATATCTTCCCCTTGTCCCACTTCCCGAGGCATAAAAGGCGCTTTATGGCAAATTTGTTCATAAAACCACGCCCCAAACGATGCAGTCATTGCACTCGAAACACTAGATTATATCTTTTATGGTGACCCTTGCTTCCCTAAAAAAAAAAAAGTGCATTCAACGTAAAGCAGCGGATTTCCGTTCTTCACTGAAATCTTTGTAATTTGAACTTCGCCGGTGAATTTAGCGACTTGTGTCAATCTGACTCGGAAATACATATGACGTGACAGTAAAACAAAGTAACGGCATAGCTGTTTCATCACAAATTTAGCCACCTGATTATGACCGGCTCATTTCAATCCGACTACATTTTACGTTCCTTCTAATGTTGACATATCACTCATTACAGCAGAGGAACAGCGAACGGCCGAGTTTAGTGTCGACTCAAGACTTAAACGCGCAACTTTTGGCTTTCTCTCGGCGACTAGGGAGATGACATTTTGGTCGTCCAACCAGAGCAACATGATCAACGGCACGGACGGCGCCGTCTTCCACCCGCTCATCAACAGGAACGAGCTGCTCTACATCTTCGCCGCCGATCTCTGCAGGTATGCGTGCTCCAATATCGTGTCCTCCCCCGCCCTTGTTTTCCCGTCAAAGAACCCAAATAAATTAAAGGGAATTCAACGGGATCATGAATCACAGGTACGGAGTGTTTCAGGGACTGATAAGGAGTTTGTGTCAGAAAAATGGACACACCCTGGAAACTAATGATACACATGAAGCCATTTTGGAGATGAGAGCGAAGGGTTCACCAAACTGAGCGTGCCGCTTCTTTTTCGCAGGTCCATCCATCTGGCCTACGTGAAGGACGTGGAGGTGAAAGGCATCCAGGCGTACCGCTTCGCGCCTCCCGAAGACGTGCTCATGAGCCCCGTGGACAACCCGGCCAACGAGGGCTTCTGCGTGCCCGCCGGACGCTGCCTGGGCACCGGCGTGCTCAAAGTCAGCGTGTGTCGACAAGGTGAGAGAAAAGTGCAATTCACTGGTTGCGGCACACAAAGACTGAAGCGATTTGGAGGTTTCAAAGGCATCCAGTACAACAGCACTATGCACAAAAGAACGCCAAACCACGGAAAGCCCAACAATTTGGTGTCACATTCAAGTCACCATCTTTCATTGTCGAGGTTGTTTACACTTTGTCCATTAAAACAAAGTGAAGGTCGTAATGTCAGCAAAGCAATTCATGTCGGTCAATCATCATTGCAAATATACCTTCGTTGTCAATTATTAGCTCCAAACAGGTTGTTCATTATCCGCAGTCGTTGACATTTGCGTGAACGCGAAGGAAAGCAAGTTAGCACCATTTGGATTGAAATTAGCGCGCTGCGTGGGTTTAACGGCCACCCGATTTGGATCTGTTCCCTCTTGGTTCATTTAAAACACATGTCAAGCAATTAATTCACAGTTTACATTTTTGCTTTTTCGACACCTGAATCTTATCTGGTTCAGACCTGCAAATATATGTCGACGCTTAAGTTTTTGAAAAGAAGGTAACACTTCCACACAGCCCGCTACCCTGAAATGATCGTCTCAGGCAGCGCAATCTGGTATTTCCTGCTAGATTTTTTTTTTTTTTTTTTTGACCGTGCGGTTGAATCATTAACGGTGCCAGGCGCGTGTGTGTTGTAATGATTGGAGTATTTGAGTTGAGTGGAGAGGCATTGCCGTGATAAGAACATGAGGAGCATCCTCGACATACACTCCACACGCTCACCTCTGGACTCTGGTGTTTGCATTCCTTCAACCATTCATCCTCCTTATCAGACACTTGTGCTGCCAAGATTAGCAAAAAAAAAAAAAAAAAAATCAGTTCCACCACTAATCTCAATCTAGTAAGCCAAGCAAAAAAG